TAATAGGTAGTATACGTTAAGTATATTATGTTATATGATTGATTTACAAAGAAACTGTCTATGCAACGCTTATAAACTTTGCTGTAGTTAATAAATGATTTTGGAATCTGTTATATTTAAAATAAAACAAAAAAATATATTTTTTGATCAAGTTCCTGGGTTACCTGTTTTTAAATCAAATCCTTTAAAAAAAATCAGTATTAAATGGCAAACAAGATGAAATGGGTATCGGAGATGCGTGTAAAAGGAAAACTTAAATAATTTTAATCGAGTTCCTTAGACTTCCCTTAAAAATTTCTAAAGATCCCAATTTAGGTAAGTTTACAAATCCCCCATTTTGTTATTGTTATGGATAATCATAACATTTAAATCCTAAATTTATTGGTTGAATCTAAAACAGCTACATTAATAAAAACCAATAAATTTATTTGTATCTTTGTAATGAGTAATGTAACAAAGAAAGTTTTGATTTAATCAAAACTAAAAATATAAATAGCGCCGCAAAAATACAAGAATACAATCAATAAACAAGTTATATAAAAATGTTTTTAAATTTGCTAGTTTAAATCAATACTACCTAAAGAACAACAATTTGCCACCTATTTCTGGCAATTTAATATTAAAGATAAAAAATAGGAGTGAAATCATAAATAAAACTGTTGAAATTGAAGAATATATGGAATTTGAAGTAAAAATTCCAGGCTTAACAAAACCCCCTTAAAAAAATTATTAAAAATAACAGATGCTAAACGCGCAAATATAACAAAAATGGATAGAAGAAGTTTTATGCATATCCAAAACTCTTAAATGGACATTTGAAAAACAAAAGATAGTTCTCAATGAAGTAGTTATAGACATACTTTTAGGGGAAGGGTTGTCAAAAAAGAATTTAATAGAGATTACGAGATTCATAACTGCAAAGAGTTGTAATAAGATGGATTCCTCGGAATTCGTTCGCAATTTATATGGCGTGTGAAAAATTAAATATGAAAGCATATATGAGCTTTACCAAACAATAAAAACTAATTTAGATTAGTACGCAAGCATAAAAAACTTTCCGAGAATGAATATAACAGAAGGTTTAGAGAAAGCTTTTTTGAAAATTTATCCTTTAATACAGCTAAAAAATCAAAATATTTAAGAATCTATGAAGTAGAGGATGCACTGGATTATTTAATAGACCTTAAAGAAGATTTATATAAGAAATTGGAATCTACAAATACTCAAAAGTTTAATAGACAGAAATCTAAAAAAGAAATCGTGAAAATCATAACGAATTTAATAAGAAGAAACTTTTTAAAATGGAAAAAAGATTGTGTTCAACATGTAGAAACTGCACACATAATGAAAAAGATTGTTGGCATAAAAATAAAGAAAAGTCTAATGAAATAAAAAGAAACAAAGAAAAAATCCTTGTTATGAAAGAAGAAAAAACAAAAGTATTGGAGTTAATCATACGAGGAAGCATCGGAAAAAACCAAATTAAAAACGATGCTTGACACCGGCTCTAGCAGAAATTATGTAACAAAAACATTAATAAATCGATTAAAAATGCCAACACAAGAAGATAAATCTTTAGAAATACTTGTAGCAAACAATGCTAAACTTATTGTTATTCAAACGTTAATATTAACCTTTATGATAAACAAATTCAATCCAGAGTTTAAAATAAAATGTTATGTATTAAATAAATGTCCAGTAGACATGATAATAGGAAATGAATTTATCATGAACAATGATTGTATATTTAATTTATAAATAATTATATTTTAATAAGCAAGGAAAAAATTGGCATTCGGCATTCAGAAAACACAGACTGTATTTTAGACAAAATATTTTATGAATTGTTGAACTTCGTTACTGAAAAAAAGGTGGAAAGTTTAAAAACGTAATCGTTGAATATTCAAAAACGAATAACAGCTTTAAAGAAATGAATGTAGAACCAGAAAGTTTTACTGTAAAAGATGATAAAATAAAACCAAAAAATATTGGATACCCCATACCTCACAAATAATGAAAAGGCGCAAGAGCCGAAATTAATAGATGATTAAGAGAAAATTTTATTATGGAAGACAAAACAAATATGTTTAGTCTAGCCTTTCCAATTGAAAAGAAAACAAGCGACCTGAGAATAGTTATTGATTATAGAAAAACCAATAAACACATAATTGATGGACCGTATGAAATTCCAAAAATATTTGAAACACTACAACTTTTGGAAAGAAAAGCATTTTTTACCAAAATAGACCTCAAAAACGGATTCGATCAAATATCTATTGACAAGCAAAGCAGCAAAATTACAGGATTTATGATGTTCAACAAAATCTACACCTATAAACGTATTCCGTTTGGAATAAAATCAGGCCCCAATTTTTTCCAAAAATATGTCTGTGAAATATTATCCGATGTAAACTCGCTTTGGATACATAGATGACATTGTTATAACCGGCAAAACACACGAACAACACGATGATTAAGTAATTACGATACTAAAGTTATTAAAAGAGAAATCCGTAAGAAACATTTTTGAAAAATCAATATTTAGGCAACGTGAAATACACGCATTAGGCTATATTTTTAATAAAAACGGTATATCATTAAACAAGAAATATCTTACAATCCGATATTTTCTTAAGATATTAAAATAAAATAAAAGGTGCAAAAAACCTCGGAATATCAAACTGGTATAGACGATTAATCGTAGGGATGACAGAAAAATGCATGCCTTTAATCGAATTATTAAAAAAAAAATTGTATAAACTGTAGATCTAAAAAAAACTGTGGAAAGTTTAAAAGAATAAATTAGTAACGAAGAAACATTAAAATTCCCATATTTCTCAAAAAAGTTCATACATGAATGTGATGCTTCAAATAACGGAGTAGGAGAAGTTCTTTATCAGCAACAAGGAGTACTTTGGCACTTCAGTAAAAAATTAAATGAGGTCGAGAGAAATTTTTTAATCGTCAAAAAAGAGATCTTAGCAATGGTACGTGCCTTAATACATTTCAAAGATATTATTCAAGGTTACTATATAGAAACATTTACGGTCAGTAAAAGCTGCACGTTCCAAAAAAGCGGAAAACTTAAATAGAGTCTGTAGATGGTTATTATTAATGAATACATTTAATGTGACTGCAGATTGGAGGATAATAGAACGTAATAGCCGACGCAATCTCAAGAAGTTTACCATTGAAAGAAAAGAATACAAGATATTTATGATTACAAGATAAACTTTTAAAGTGGTGTAATTACATTCATACTGATAACAAAGGAAAAATTATACTTGAAGACAAATATACCCCAAATTTTATTGAGTACATCCATTGCAAAAGTGCACATGCTGGAAGGAATGCATGTTATTACAATATAAAGGATTATTATAAAATAAACAACATTCAAAAAGTCATTAAAGAAGTATTATTAAATTGTAAAAGTGTAAATATTACAAAAAAGAAAGAAGAAAGAATTATCTTAAAGTTAAAATAAAATCAAATAGGTTGTGGGAAATAGTAAGCACCGACATATTCGGTCCCTTTAAACTTGAAGAATTTGAAATTGAAGAGGGTAGAAATAAAGGCTACTTTATTGGTTTTACAGATATCTACTCAAGATTCACAAAAGTTTATATTACTACGAACATTAGAAGCAAGGCCGTAATTAAATACTTTGCAAAATGATGCAAGAGATACAAATACACCAAGGTGATAATATCAGATAATGGGAAGAATTATTCAAGCAAGGAATTTGCCAAATTTACCTCTAAAAAAAATATAAAACATAATTTTGTGCCTACTTATACCCCAAGTTGTAACGGGATTAGTGAGAGAATTAATCAAATATTTGCGAAGATTATCAGAATGTACAAAAAAAGAGGAATAAAAGTCATTTCAAATAGAATTCATCAAGGGTTAAATGGAAACTATTTGACATCCATAAAAGGAATACCTCGGATAGTGGTCGATGGCGATAACATGTTCAATCCTTATGTTACAAAGGAATAATACAAAAAAACCGATGAAAAAGATTGTAATAAGTCAAAATATGAAAAATATAAAATTAGAGATCTTAATTATTTAACGAATCTAACTGCGGACAAGTTTGATCAACAGTTCGAAGGTCCTTACAAGATAATTGAGATATAGAGTATAGGTTTATGGATAAAAGTTAATGGAAAAGAGCAATAGTATCATGTAAAAAATGTCAAGTTTTAATTAAAAAAGGCGAGATGTTGTAGATAATCATAACATTTAAATCCTAAATTTATTGATGGATTAAAAAACGGCTACATTTATAAAAACCAATGAATTTATTTGTTTTTTTTTAATGATTGGTGTAACAAAGAAAGTTTTGATTTAATCAAAACTTAAAATATAAATAGCGCCACAAAGGTACAAGAATGCAATCAATAAATAAGTCAAATAAAAATGTCTTTAAATTGGGTAGTTTAATTGAATACTACCCAAAGAACAACAATCTACCACCCATTTCTGGCAGTGTTTACCCAAATCTCCAACTATTTACTTGTAATGATTTCTTAAATAGAGTAATTCCCCAGCTTTTCTTCGATTTAAATCAATTTATTACAGAGGATAAGGTGAATAAATTTAAAAATTTCATCGTGCCGACGCACGTAGTCGCCACCTTGCATTTTTTCACGTCTTGAATCAAAATGATCAACTTTTGTATTTGCCTCTTCACAGTGTGGACACTTTTTTTTTTAGCTCCAACAAACATGTTTTCGTCTTGAAAGCAGCCAGGGGCACCCTTTATCTTAGCTGTATTATTTCCTCTCGTCAACCAGGATGACAAACCAATAATGTTGCCTTTTCATTTCAGGCTTTCCCATACAACTTTTTATGTAAAGGTTTCGTTTTCAAATTGTTGTAAAGTATTTGCATTTGGGCTTTTATAAGTAAATCTACACTAAGCGTTATTTCTCCAAGGATGTAATTTTTTTTCAAAAAATTTCTGAATAACCAGACGCAAGTTTAGCAGATTCTTGTACCTGCAAAATTGCTGCTCTTCTTTTAAATATGTGTTCTGTTTTCTCAAATGTATCGAGTAATTAAAAGAGTATAAGTTCGCTTTTGAATTTAACTCTACTTAGCCTTTCTTCTAGTTGGTCTCTCAGTAGGTACAACCCCTCCTTACAAGGTGGTTGTAAATGTATAATGTTATGTATCAAAATTTGTTTAATTTGAACATCCGAATTGCTAAATATTTCCGGTTCGAACTACAATATTCTTATGTAATAATTTATCTTTAAAATTCCATACTCATTAATTGCATGAAACATGTGTTTTTTTCCGACTGTCTGATCTTGCCCAGTTTTCCTATTCTTTCTTTTATTCCTTTAAATACCTTCTCTGTGATAGTTTTTTAAGGTTCACTGTTCATAATCTTTGTAATGCCGAGACATTTGTATGAATATTCTTGTTATAATTAAAGAATTTGAGTATAAATTGATTTTGCATTGGTAGCAGACTTTTTTTTTTTGGGGGGGGGGGTAATTTTAAGATTTACATGGCTGCAAAA